TTTGCCTCCCATTCCTTTTCCTCAATAAGCGATAGGATAAAGGTCTAAAGCCTTGACTTCAGATTTGGAGCTGACCATCTGCACAATCCTTCTGCCCAAAGCCGTGGGCGTCTTCCTGTGTAAGTGTGCGTGGGTGCGTGCGTGCGTGCCCCGCCTGCAGAGACTTAAGCTTTGGGATACAGAGTGACCGTGTCGTAGCCCTCTGGGGGCTTCGTACGGGCTCTTGCATGGGTTTCGCAGTACAGCTCCCCTTCGATGAAGAAGTAGCCCTTTTGCTTGAGGTTGAGGTTGCAGTCAGCACACACGAAGCACTCAGGGTGCCGGTACTTATCCCGTGCCTTCACCACTGCACCGCTGTTGGGGAAGAAAATGAACTCAAGTTAAAAAACCACAGAGCAAAAATTGAGACAAAGGAAAGAACCCAACAGAGAAGGCAGGTGTTCTCTATTTCAGTCAGGAAACAATGGCCTCCAGCTGTGAAAACATGCACAGCCGTGAAACTGTATGTAATTGTCATGGAGATCTAGGATATCCACAACAAGCCATCCCATGTTTCTCTCTGGTGTTGACGTGGGACTATGTTCAGATTTTCAAAAGAGTCCTTAATAGAAAATTTGTAGGATCCTACTTCATGATCTTTCCTCATCATTTCTTTGAAGAGGGAGACATGATGGAGACAAGACCAACCACTCTGCAAAAAATTCTGCTTTTGACGGAGTGGTCATCTACCCAATGAACGGAGTCTCTCTGATTGCTTTCCATCTGGGTGGTCCAGCCTTTATTCAATGGAGCAAGAGAAAACAGATCAAAGAGCAGAGATGGAATTCCTTTGGGGTGGGTGGACTAGCTTCTACTGTGAACAGTTTACTCCAGCTTAGGCACAATGATTGCTTCTGGTAACGTCAGGCACTATTGTATTTTACTGAGGGCCTCTCTGTTCTGAGCTCCCTGCCCTGCTTTGACCTTTTGGTCCCACGTTCCTCCTCTTGCCCTAACCAGGTTTATCCCCCACTGCCCTCTTGGGATGTATCCTGGCTAACCGGACAGAGGACACATCAGTGTGTGAATTCATGGCAGGGGAATGGAATAATGGGATGGGGATGTGCCCACATGGCACGAATGCCGTGAGGATGTCAGAATTATCTTGGTTGACTTGATCCTGAACTAGCAAGTGTGGTTATTTAAACATAAGGTCCCCACTGGGCGCGGCAGCTCACAACTGGAATCCCAGGACTTCGGGAGGCTGAGGCCGGCAAATCACCTGAGGTTAGGAGTTGGAGACCAGCCTGGCCAACATGGTGAAACCTCCTCTTACCAAAAATACAAAAATTAGCCAGGTGTGGTGGCGGGCACCTGTAATCCCAGCTACTGGGGAGGCTGAGGCAGGAGAATCACTTGAACCCGGGAGGCAGAGGTTGCAGTGAGCCAAGATTGCGCCACTGCACTGCAGCCTGGGTGACAAAGCAAGGCTCTGTCTCCAAATAAATAAATAAATAAATAAATAAATAAATAAATATTTCCTTGTAATAGAAGCTGACAGTAGTTTTTCAATATTTTGTTTCAAAATCTGTGTAACTTAAACTGGGTAAAGATAATGTATTTTAATTAACATCCTCATGCTGCATTTGTTTCCCTGTGTTTATACAGAGGAGGATACTATGTATACTAAATGTATACACTTACTAAAGACTAGACATTAACAGGGGTGGGGGAGTTTAAAGTGAAGTCATGATTCTTAGAAGTGACTTTTCAACATACATTTGGGGTATTTTTTTTTTCATGAGAGTATTCTGAAATTGTAAGTCAAAATTGCTGATTCATATGATGTGACAATTTGGAGGTATATCTAAGGAGTGACAGTCACAATGTGTTAAATGTTGGGGACCTATGTTTCAAGTTGATGAACAGAAATTTGGTTTTCATAATTGCCTTTAGTCTATAAAGTCTTAAAGTAGAAGAAATGAACTGTCGCCCAGCGGTATTGTAAATTCCAGGGTTAAAAATGACACTTACACTATGCCACTCCCACATTTGTCACAGAGCGGCATCCTCTGTGCCCCGCCTGAACCGCCATGGACTTTCGTCACCGGAGCTCTCACACTCCGCGTTCCAGCCGGACGGTCATCTGAAAAACAAAGTGTTTCCATGTATGGCTAGGGAACAGCTGGCTGCAGCTTGTGCTAAGCTTCTATTTTAAACTGTGCACTTTAGCCTCAGTTGCATCTGCACTGTCATATTCCGAACAGGACTGATGCAATCATAAGGGACGTTGTTCTGAAATAGGGCATTACAGAATGGAATTAGAGAAAACATTTATTTTGTTGTTGTGGTTGGAGGAAACTGTTACAAAACGCTCAAAGGAGCGGAGGGCATTATTTTTTATTGTGGCAAAATATACATAAAATTTACCATTTTCACCACGTTTAGGGGTGCAATTCAGTGACATTAGGTACATTCATAATGCTGTGCAAGCACTGTCCATATCCACCTCCGGAACCATTTCTTCACCTCCCAGAAACTGTACCCATTAAACGGTAACTCCCTGTGCTCCTGCTCACAGCCCCTGGTAACTTCTATTCTGTTTTCTGTCTCTTGGATTTGCCTATTCTGGATCTTTCAAATAAATGGAATCATACAATATTTGCCTCTTTGTGTCTGGCTTCTTTCACTTCACATAGTGTTTTCAAAGTTCATTCATGGTGCACCATGTGTCAGAATTTAATTCCTTTTAAGACTGAAAAACATTTCATTGTATGTGCACACTACATTTTGCTTATCCATTCATCATTCGATAGACATTGGGTGTTTTCCCTCTTTGGGCTACTGTGAATAAGATAAATGCTGGCATACAGGCCGGGCGCGGTGGCTCACGCCTGTAATCCCAGCACTCTGGGAGGCCGAGGCGGGTGGATCATGAGATCAGGAGTTCGAGACCAGCCTGGCCAAGAGGTAAAACCCCATCTCTACTAAAAATACAAAAATTAGCCAGGCGTGGTGGCAGGTGCCTGTAATCCCAGCTACTCGGGAGGCTGAGGCAGGAGAATCACTTGAACCCATGAGGCAGAGGTTACAGTAAGCCAAGATGCACCACCCACTCTAGCCTGGGCAACAGAGCAAGACTCCATCTCAAAAACAAAAAGAAAAAGTATCTGTTTGAGTCCCTGCTTTCAAGTCTTTTGGGGTGTATTCCTAGGAGTGGGGCTGTGGGATCACTAACTTCTTGAGGAGCTGCCATTCTCCCCGAGGGTGGCTGCTCCTTGTTACCTTCCCCTCAGTAATGCACAGGGTTCCCATTTCTCCATATGCTCACCAATACTTGTTATTCTCCATGCTTTCTACAGTAGCCATCCTAATGGGACATTCTGCATTTTTGTGTGGCTTTTAAAGGACAGTCTATATCTTTTGGGCATGGAGAAGCA